TGCCCTTTCGCTAAGCTAAATAACTTCCTTTTCCTAATTACAGGAATTGCTCCAACCCCTTGATCATGCTGGTTTCCTTTTTCTGCACTTTTTCCAATACTACAATACCATTTTAGGTGTGGCTATCAGAACGGCATGTCTATTCTAGGTGCAGCCACACCGAGGATTTATGTAATGGCAATATGCTCTTGGTGCTTTTATTTTAAATTCCTTTCTTAATTATGCCTAACATGAAGCTTGCTCCATTCACAGCTTCTACAAGTTACTCACCCTAGCAGCAGATCCAGATTTGCCCATTATGCACAGCAAAAACTTTCCTAGGAGGCATCTTAGGCTTTAACCCTGTATTCACAGATCAAGGAGTAAACCCCATTGAAGTCACTCCATGAATAGGTGACTTCAGGTATGCCTGAATAGGTATGCCTAGGACTGCACTGTTAAGAGGGAAGGACCTATAAAGAACCAAACATAATTTCTCTATTAGCAAAATCCCATTTATGATGAAGCGAAGAGTAGATCATGTCAAAAAGAGCAGAAGAGGGGGAGTAATGCAGCTAGATAATTCTAGATCCTGGACTAATTTTATCCTCCGACCCAAAAAACAAAACAAAAACAAGCCAAGTATATTACTTCACTTGTGATATTACTCCCCCCCCCACCCCACACACACACACTCTTTTAACTTCTTTTATGCTCCTGACAGGTTATAGTAAAACCAACAGATAACCCCCATTTGCCAAAATTGATAAATATTCAATATAGAAAGGATGGTGTAAATGTATGTTTTTGCATTTTAAACTCACTTAAATCATAGCTCTGTTGTCACTACAGGAACAAAAGGCAGGGTATCGCCACAGTAGCAGGAGGCCTTAGAGCACAGGTCCTCAAACTATGGCCCGCCCGCCCGCCGTGATTCAGCCCACCATTTCCATTTATCTGGCCCACCTCAGAGGTTTTGGACTCGCTCAGAGAAGCGGTGCAGGCGTACTCAGTGGGGAGATGGCGGCAGTCGTGGTTGTAATTGAGCAGGAAAGACGGGCATGATCTCAGTCGTGCTTGTGGTGGGAGAAGGGAGATGGCCAAGATCACGCCCGCCTTCCCTGCACAACTGCAATCATGCCTGTCTCTCCCCCCCCCCCCCCCCCCCCCCCCCCCCACCCCTAACCTTTCCCCTTCCCCCCCCCCCCCCCCCCAGCACAATCATGGACATTGTAGCTATGTCCCTTGAATATGGACATGCTTTTCCCCACTTCATCTTGGGCTTCTGCTGCAGCCCGAGCGAGCACAGCAAACACTTTTTAACTTTTAATTATTTTTTAAAATTTTAATTATTTGTAATTAATTTTAAGACTTATTTTAATGCTATTTTTTAATGTGCAGTGTGTATAGGAATTCGTTCGTATTTTTTTCAAACTATAGTCTGGCCCCCCAACAGTCTGAGGGACAGTGAACTGGCCCCTGTTGAAAAAGTCTGAGGACCCCTGCCTTAGAGGGTCCTAGCGGGGGGTTGGGAAGAGGCTTTTGAGAAGAAACATCAAAGGCAACCCCAGGAAATTCCAGGGATGGGCCTGAAAACTAACGCAAAGGGGGGCGCCATATCGGCCTAATTCTCCAGTCGGCAAATATTACATCGGCATCTCTTCCTCCTCCTTGTAGCAGCGCTCCCGCCCTCTCTCTTTCCACCCACCCTATCTCTGGAAATCTGGCTTCTGAGATTTGCGGCATGACCAAAACTGCTCCAGCCAAGGAGTAAGAAAGAGCGTTCGGCCGGTTGGTGCAATGGCAGTTTGCAGAGTCGCTAACGGGTAAACCCCCGGAAATGAAGGCGCAAGGCGGCAGCCGCCCCCGTGAACCTGCCGCAGATGCCCCGGGGCTGCTTTCCGGCCGGGGGAGAATGGAAGAACGCGCAACGGGCTGCAGCAACGAGCGGGGCTTTGCAGGCGGCAGCATTTCGCAGGAGATGCGCCCGCCTTGTGCTGCTGGGCAGCCGCCTCCGCAGGAATCGCGCTGTGCTACCGGCGCGCCTCGCCCCGGGGGCGGCCTCGTCCTTGCAGAGGAGCTCCAGGGGCTCCTAAAGCCTCTCACGAGCTGCTGCTCCTCCCGTCCTTCCCCCATCCGAAGCCTGCATTTCTTGGCTACTTGCACAACTTTTGCCAGGCGCCGGTCTGGCCTGCAGTTCCTTTCCGGAATTCTCGCCCAACGCAGGGAGCAGGAAGCGTCCTTTTTAGATGCGCCCCAGACCTGGATCAGGCCCTGTCTGCAAAAACGGTGCCCGCAGTATAGATTCACTGGGTCCTCGAAATATTCGGGGCAGATGGGACACGGGCTTCATCAGACGCTCAGCTCCCATGGCCCTCTCTTCCCCCACAGGAACAGGAAGAGGGCTGGTTTCGGTTTTGCTTTTAAAAATAGAGCGGGATTTCCTTTTCTCAGACTTCTGACGCCGGGCAGGATCAGGATAGTGAGTTCAAGCCAAGAAGCCTCCAAATCGGTTAAACAGATTTAATTAGTCCATTGAGAAAAGAATTGGCTTGCCCCGAACTGCTGCATAGCACACGGCTTTAGACCAGCACGACTAAGGAACTCACCCGGAACCCGAATGGAGCGGCTGCCTAGAAGTTTGCCCCTTAAATATCATTAAGATCAGTCGCCAGATATATTGCGCCGGGCTTGCTGGAGATGGATGAAGGCGCCTGTGACAGGTTCGTGCAGTCCTATATCCACTTAAAACCTCAGCACAGCTGCAGTCTTAAATCAACCTACCTGCTAAATTCCGCGCGACTTAGTTCTGAGTAAATACGCATTCACTGCTATTTTTAACTCTGTTTAACGTACAGAGATGCTCTGCTTACAGGATATTTTATGCATGTTAATTGCATGCTGAAGGCTGGCCTGGATCCAAAGCCACAAGGCAAGCTATTACTAGATCACACATGCATGAATCAAGTGATATCAACCATGCCACTTAGAAGATCCCTGTTCCAGTTTGTCACCAAGAAGAACCCAGACACAGCAATAAGGATCTAGCAAGTGAATCCATGGCCAGAATCCAGAATTCTTACAGAAAATAAGTTTAATATTGAGAGGGCCTCTGAGCATGTGCAGAATGATTTTCCATTTCTGAGCACTGACATCACCCACTTGCAAAATCACAGGAATGTCACCCCCATAGATCTCTGCACTTCCTTCAAGAATGCATCATTCGTGATCAAGGAACTGCCCTCCATTTTCCTGTCCTGGAAACTCTTGATAAAAATAGATCAACCACTTCTAAAAAACCCCAAATAACCAACACCTCTGTCCTTTTTATTAGAAGGCAAACTTTCCTCTTTCCCATAACTTCTTCCAAAATCTGGCAATCTGTTTTCAATACCAGGGCTAAACCCTAATACTTGAGTGCCTCTGAACATGTGCAGAGCGCTTGTCACTCACCACTGAGTAATTGCAGTCCTTGGGGCTTCTAGGTACTTAGAATTTTGCCTCAGTGTCCCTTTGAGCACATGCCTTTTATTACTATAACTGAAACTGCAACCCCTTTCCTTCTCTACCAAAATCCACTCCTGCTTTCATCTCGCCCATTTTAGCATCCAAAAAATGGTGCCGAGTTGAGATTTTCATTCATCAAAATCAAAAATGAGGAACCTCTATCATGTAAACTCAGTATCTCCCCCAGCCCCATCTTGGGTGAAAAGGTTCCTAATGTTTGAGGGGAGGAAATCAGAAAAACAAGTTTGCATATGTACAAAGCTGTTTGTAGAACATGAACAACATGCAATTAGCTGAGTTTGGAGGAAAAAACACTGGGTAGAGAAACTTCCAAGATGAACCCAAAATATGGGGCAATGGTTGCATAGATCATGAATATTTGTGGCAGGTAGGTCCAACTGTCCGCCTTTCACAGATTCACTGAACAGCAGGGTCAGAAGGGGCCAAGAGGGCCGTCAAGTTCAACCCCATCCTGATCAGATCACGGTCTAATTATTTACTGAATGCATCTAGTGTTGCAATGCATATAACCTCTCGGCAGCTGGTTCCACTGTTGCACTGCTCTCACAGCCAGGAAATTCTTCCTTGCATCTAGCCTGCACTTGGGATACTGTAGTTTAAAATGTGTTGTTCGGTGAGAGCACGACAACCTTCTGTCCCCATTCTGGTGAATTGTGCAGGTAACAGAACAAGCTGATCTGAAGATGAAAGTTCTCAGAGAAAACACTTTATTGCTATTACTTAACTTTTTAAAAGCAAGGAAATAATACTCAGTAAAATCTGCAAGCACCCACAGAAACAAGTAATATATCTGCATTAAGGAAATCAAAGCCTCATCATTCCAATTGAAAGATCATCTCAGAGATTAAAACAAGAACTGGTTTTACACATGGGGATTTCTCCCAATTAATTAGCAACTGATATGGGAATAGCCTAATTCATTGGTTTGTTGCAGCCCTTTCTCACCCATGCAGGTTGAACATTCCTTTCTGTGTAGGGTAAGAAATATTTAAAAAATTAAAAGGACTGGATACCAAAATTCAGAACAAACTAGATTAAAAGCTCCTTTCATTGCAGCATTTTGAAATAATCATGCCTGTGTCATAGAAAAATGAAACGGGAAGGATCACTTTTTCCTAGTCAATGTATTTCCCCCTTTGAAAAGCTCCTGTGCTTTTAAAAATCTCATGACAAACATCTATAAATAGAGATGAAGTCATGGCAGATGCTTTACTTACTGATTTTCTTTCTGACAGATCAATACTCCAGGATTTTCAACCTACTGTGGCTTTAAAAAAAAATCGAGGTTAGAGGAATTATTTTAATGGTACTGGAAAACCCTTGGCCTGCCTGCTTTTGTTTGCATTTCTGCAGACAGACATTTAATGATCTGGAACTGATAAGCTGTCCCCAAAGCCCCAAGACTGTCCCTGTCTGGCTGCTACGGAGCCACCGAAAAAGTGCCACCTAATTCAGGGCAGAGATGGGCTGCTGACAGAGGGAGTTCTCAGGTTTCAGCACTTGAGACTGAGCCCACATTCTCTCACTTGAAAATAAGGTCGGATGCTTTCCCCATCAAAGGTGTCTGTTCGGAACTTAAAGAGAGCTCTGTTATTGTCTGCATCAAAGAAGTCCACACTGCCCCCTTCATAATTCAGGACTACGAGGATCTTCTTGAGGTTGTTGCTCAGGCTCAGAAGGGTTGGTTCAGGGAAAGTTAAGGCCAAGACATCCTGGGCTGAGAATGTGCCACTGTAGGGCTTCCCCAGAGCCCAGGTCCCTTCTTCGGGATTAAGGAGTGTACGCCCCCTCCTCACTGTTTCCACTGTGGCCCCCACAGCCCAGCTTCCGGTCCCCGACACTTCCACCACCCACCAATGGACTCCTGAAACTAGTTTCTCACAGCCCAGGACGCAGGGCTCCCAGAAAAATCGCGAGGGGTTAACCAGCATCTTCTTCCTCCACCATTCACTCTTCTTTTTCGACGTTAGCTTCACATCCTTCATGTCCATCGACACCACAAGATGGGGATGTGCCGTGTACACATCCAGAATCACATCCACTGCAGGAGGGGAAGGAGGGAGGGAAGAGAGTGGATGGCGACAGAAAAAAGATGAGTTGCAGTTGCTGGAGAGTAACTTACAAAATATCCTTCCTGAACACTACATCTGAATCAAGTTAGGATGCATGGCAAAAAAAGGAGGTGAAGTGTGAAACCGAGTAAGTGGGGCTATCAAACATTTCCTCACACCAAGATGGGTATAAAACAGGGTTTGCTTATTATTACATTCCTATCCCACTTTTGTCCTCTTGCCGGGAACTCAAGGTAGCTGCCAATGGCTTTCAGTATTTAATGAACGGATGAGGTCTGTTTCTTATGTAACACTCTTGACCAAACTAGGTTCCATCCGTAGGTCAGTTCCCACATACCCACCCTGCCCAGATCATCCTAACCATTGTCTCTGAACAAGACAGCCTTGTGATAGTCCATGCCTTGTGGAAGAAAGAGAGAAATCAACCAGATTTTTTCAGAAGTTCAGCTGTCTGCCTAATGCCACTCCTTCTGATAACTGGACAAAGGGCTGCTCCTGCTGAGCTCCTGCCCGCCATCAACAGTTCCCATCTGTCTCTTTACTTACTATATTGCCCAGTGGAACAGTGGAAGGAAATGCTGAGATGCTTTCATAAATTTACCTTTATTCATGGACTGCATCTGGGAATCCGCTATGGGAAGAGAAGGGTGAGAAATTGAGAACCAAGTCATAAAAGAAATGAAAAAGTAACTCTCATACCAAGTACAATGACATTATTTAAATGAGGGAGAGAGTGATTATTTTCTGTATGATCTCCAAAAGATTCTTCAACAAAGTTAGTGCTTTCTGACTGTGTATCCAACAAGAATCATCTCCGCTGAAAACTGTTCCTTCTGCATCAGTCCTAGAGCATTTGTTCCAATTCTGCCTGAGAGATCCTGTTTTGTGGAAGGAAAGGTGGCAGGTTCCAGTTCAAGTTATTTCAAGTGTGGTAGCTATGCTGAGGAAGGACTGCATAACCCATCCCATGTTGCATCAAATCCTCTCCTCTCCACCAAACAAGGTCATTGAATTTGCTCTGTCAACCATCCTTTGAGATGTCTGTTGCTAATATTTATTTATTTAGGCTATTTTTATCCAGTCCTATTCCAAATGGCTTGAAACTCAACATTAAGAAAACTAAGATCATGGCATCCGGCCTTTGAATTGTGGTGCTGGCGGAGACTCCTGCAAGTCCCTTGGACCGCAAGGCGATCAAACCAGTCAGTCCTAGAGGAGATCAACCCTGGCTGCTCTTGAGAAGGCCAGATCCTGAAGATGAAACTCAAATACTTTGGCCACCTAATGAGAAGGAAGGACTCCCTGGAGAAGAGCCTAATGCTGGGAACAATAGACAGCAAAAGAAGAAGGGGACGGTGGAGGATGAGGTGGCTGGGTGGAGTCACTGAAGCAGTCAGCATGAGCTTAGGTGGACTCCGGGGGATGGTGGAGGACAGGAGAGCCTGGAGGAATGTTGTTCATGGGGTCGCGATGGGTCAGACACAACTTCGCGACTAACAACAACAAATTCCAAATGTCTCTGAACGGCTTACAATGTGACAAACAAATAAATACAGCAATCAATAACAAAATAAAATACATCTGAGGATATTAATAAAACCAGATTAAAATATTTAAACTTTAAAATATTGAGTAAATTAATAGGTTTTAACCTGGCGCCAAAAAGCATATAAAGTTGGCACCAGGCGAACCTCTCTGGGGAGCGCATCCCACAGTCAGAGCGCCACTGCAGAGAAAGCCCTCCTCCGGGTGTTCACTCTCCAGAATAATCTAGAATACAATGGCTCTCATTCAGGATCTGATTCTGAAGGAGGGAAGCTGACCCAGCTTACATTACCCAAAATTTAGAAGGAAGATCTGGGGGATGCTGTTTGAAGGTGCCAGGCTGGGTTGGATGCTGAAGGCCAAAGACAGCAAAGGCTGGGAGAGCAAGTGATGAGCAGCGGCTGAAATACATCCAGCAAGACAGGGCTGACAGTGCATGGGACACATCCACACACACGACACTTGTGCAATCATAACCAAAAGGCACTGCAGTTTGGTGGCACCGCATAGAGAAGGGCCTGGGTTCAAACCCTGGAATCTGCAGGTAGGGCTGGAAAGACACTTGCCCAAAATCCTGCACTGCCAGCCAGTGCTGACATGGGCCAGTACCTTAGGCAGTAGGAGGACTGTGTACAAGGGATGACATCATCATCATTACATTACATTACATTACATTACATTACATTACATTTCTATACTGCCTGTAGCTGAAGTTCTCTGGGCAGTTCACAACATTTAGGGCAGCTTTCTATTTGTTAACTGCAGAGTGAGGAACATCTGTATTTTGCTGGAAGCAACTCATTTTCTCCTCAAACTATTCTGCCAAATAAGGCACTTGTGAGCAACTAAGTCTACCTCCTGGAGGGTTCAGCTGGAGAAAACCTCAAGCCATTTGGAAGAACCCCGCTGGATGATGCCATGAGGATGTGGCAGTAGCCACAAAGTACTGTTTCCAACAGGAACTGATGATCAGTTCTCCCTTGTGCTCAGCCACAATTCTCACTTGTGCCTGGTCTTACACCATTTGTGTTCCTGTTTTCTCCCCGAGTGTCTCTGGTCCGTGCATAAACCAAGAGTCCACCTGTACTGCCAGCAGAAGAAGCCAGTCATATCTAACACTCCAGCCCTGTCCATTTCCCAAAGAACAACTGCGGTTTTGACATTAGGGCCCATCAGAAAATCCCAAGGGACTCCCAGCAATCCATGAGCGTCCATCAGTCCATAGGCTGCCACATTCCTATTCATCATCCACAGCCCCTGCACTGAGGCTTCTGGTTTTGCTCCTCCTCCTTCTCAGTGCTGAACAGCCAAACCACTCAGGGTGGTTCACAGCAATTCCTAAGTATACTTGTACACATTATGGTATTAGGGCTGATTAGGCAGATTAGAAACTATTGGGCAGATTAGAAATGTATTAAATAAAAAACAAGATTTCTATTACTTTCTGTACAATTTAACTCTATTTTGCCTGGTTTATTCTTCCTGTTTTAATTATTTTTGTAAACTCCCTTGAGTGTTTTGCTAGAATAAAGATTAATTTATACATGTTTATAAATATATTGTAATTATAAAGTTAGTCAGACCATAGTGCACAAAGCAACTTGTCCTACTTTACCTGAAATACAGTCTTACACTCAATTTCTCATTGCTAGGCATGTAAATTGGGAGTAAACCCCCTTGCCAAGGTAAAATTTAAACTAAACAGTACTGTTCATGTAAAATGGTAAGGAGATATAGCTAAGAGTAAGGGGAAGTGACACTGGTTCCCCAGGACTAGCAGAAGGCTCTCTCCTAGGCTCCAACTCATGCAGCATCTTCCATCACCTCTTTTTTCAGTCCCGTAATTACGATTACCTGTTTCTAGTGCGTGTTCCAACCTTCGCAGACTCCAAGCTTGCTCTAGAGACTCTGTTGCAGATAGGAGAAAGTGATAAAATTACTCAGACCATCATACATGGAGCAACAGACCTTTTCGTAACAGACCAAAAGGCCCTGCACTCTCACATACGGAAAACTCCCCATTTAGATCTGCATTACGAGTATGCTGCTTCTGCAACTCATATCATTTGTTTGCAGAGGCTGTTTCAAAGGTATTCACACAAGGAAACGAAGCGAAAGGGTGAGCAGCAGATGGGGATTCACTCAAGTCTCACAGAGTCTTTCTCAGAAAAAGGTGAGATTCACTCCACATAGTTGCTCCTCCTGACTGGGAAGGGAGGGGGAGGGAAGCAAATATTGTCCATGCAAGATCTTTCACGCACCACCCTCGGAATGGTACAAGAGATATCTTTTGGCCATCAAAAAGTGTCCTCAAACGGAGTAGAAATTTCCATGATCACAACTCACACTGGGCATGCTGAGGGAAGAGAGCTGCTCCCTCTGAAGGCATCAGGGATCCTTGCCTACAGGGGAATTCTTGAGTGAGCAGAGCAGGTACATCAAAAGCAGGCTGCCCCCTTCTTCAGGAATTGACAGGGTGGTGGTCAAGCCTTGGTTCCAATGGCTCATATGTGGAGAAGAAACTCCCTTTTCCCCTTCTTAAAATTTCTCACCTCCCCCTCAAAAGAACCACCAACCAGGAATGGAGGCAAAAGGGTGATTAATAATTCTTACAGTGCCTCTTCCGACTTTGAGAAACCTTCCAGTTCCCCTTTTAAAAAGGATCAAACCAGAACTGGGGCAAACCCAGACACACACACCTGCTTCTTCCACAGTACCTTTATAGTCCTCAACAGCCTTTCGGTAAAGAGAACCTTTCTGAGACACAACACCATGCATATCTTCCACAGTGAGAGAAGGATCCAGTTCTTTCTTTCCTAAAGGTTTCCCGTAACTGGAAAGAAATATGGTTCAGATTTTAAAAAAGCTAATAGGACATATTTCTCATGCAAACTTGTAGCACCTAAGTGCAGGTTGGGTTCTCATTCAAGATTTAATCCAGGTAGACGTGCAACCAGCAATTCTAAAGTTTAAGTTACTCTAAACAACTTCCGATTCAACCAATTTCACCCTAGTGAGGGGAGAGAGGTGGGCAGCCTTTTGTAGATTCTCTCTCATGCCCTTTGGATGACACAGATTGGATTAGGAAGTTTGTGGAAGGATTCAGAATTTCTGTATCAAGTATCAGGATGCCCTTAACACAGAAGATAAAACCCCAAGTTCTCTAGTCTCATGTTAATTTCTTTGCTGCCCTTCATGGGAAATGGAGTGGGTGCAAACAGAACAGATATGAGGAGTGCTGGTAGACATGCCACAGAGGGGTAGAGCAATTCAGCAGGAGGGCAGATAGACAGAAGTTCTGTATTGTTGGAAAAGGTATCGTCGGATAAAAGGGCTTAACGTAACATGTGACTGGGAAAGACCTCCATGTAAGAAATGGAGAGGTGGTTTCAGTCAAAGTATACAGCATTTACAGCTTTCCTCAGTATAAAGTAAGATGAATGGACAGCTTGTTGCCTTCTAAACATTTTGGCTTCCATTTTTCATCACCCTTCAATCTTAGCTATGCTGGCTCATAGGAACTGTAGCCCAAAGTATCTGAAGTGATGCCCCTAATATAAGGCAGTGTGTGATCCCCACCATTCATACCCAAAGCCCTTTGTTCCCTGAGGACTAGTACTACCATCTTTGATAGCTACCATCAAGGTGTATCGAAGTATTAGGGTTAAAAGCTCCCATCTCCTCCCAAGAATCAGGAATGTCTCAGATCATAAGTATGTAGAGAAGTCTCATATTCCAGAAGAAAGAAATTAGCAATCCTTCACAGCATCACCCTCATAAAATATGTTTCTAATGACCGATAGCATGCAAAACACTTTTATGGACTTGTTTTTCTGTTGGTTGTTCTAGGTTATTTTTTTAATGATGCAAAAGTTGCTCCACAGTGGGGGAAATGAAGGGGGGGGGTGAGAAAAAGCAGAGCACCACCAACTCCAAATTAGAAACCAGTAGATAGACAAAAAAGGCCGTGATATGAACCACATTCTACACAGTGAGAAGATAATTTGCTTCCATTAGTTCTCCTAGTGTGACCATAACTCTCCCACTGAGAGAGGAAGGAAAACAGAAGGGAGCAAGGGTCGCATACCTACTCCAGGCACTTCTGCTGTCCTGAAAGAAAGAAAGGAGTCTCAGCTTATCAGCCAGAACAAACAGGATTTCTTCCTGCTTCTGCGGAGCTCCTTTCGCCCCTTCCTTCTTACAGACAACACCCCAATGTTCTCAGAGTCACACCCTCTTTATTCTAAGATATTTGCCCCTGCCCCTCTGTTCTCAGCCTCACCTGCAGGAATTTACTTGTTGACTGTTGGCACGTCTCCTCTATCTCCGTGGTCAGCTCACTGAGCAGAGCGATCTTGACAGACATTTTGGCAAAGTCTTCTTCCAGCCCGTGCTTTGCCTCTTCCTTCAGCTTTTCCAGCTGATCTAGCCAGAGGCGTTGTTTCTCCTCAAGAAATGTCAGCAGTCCCTCAAACGCCCCTTTGTCCTTCTCTTCTTCTTTTTCCATTTGTTTCTTGGGGTGGGGAAATATTTATTTATTTAAAGGTTTTATATGCCGTTCCGAGGCTATATAGCAAGGGGACGGCTCACAGAAATGAATAAATACAATACAAATAACAATTACAATTAAAACCCGGAAACACCCTGGCTGCACAATTAAAACCTATAAATATTAAACATTAAAATATTGTTTGAATAAAAAGGTCTTGGCCTGGCACCAAAAAACAAGTAACAGTATCAGGCGGACCTTTCTGGGGAGTGCATTCCATAAGTGGGGCGCCACTGCAGAGAAGGCCCTCCTCCGGGTACTTTGCCTCCTGATATCTCTCACGGAGGGTTCCCGGAGAAGGGCCTCTGTCGCCGATCTCAAGGGGTGGGAGGGCAAATATGGACGCAGGCGTTCCTTTAGGTATCCAGGTCCCAAGCTGTTAAGGCTTTATAGGTGATTACCAACACCTTGAATTGAGCCCAGACATCGACAGGAAGCCAGTGAAGCTGATAGAGGACTGGGGTTATATGAGAACAACGCCCAGTCCCCATCAGCAACCTGGCTGCTCTATTTTGCACCATCTGAAGTATCCGGACTGTCTTCAAGGGCAGCCCCACGTAAAGTGTGTTACAGAAATCCAACCGGGAAGTAACCAATGCATGCATCACTGTCGCTAGGCAGTCATCCTCCAGGTAGGGACGCAGCTGATGAATTAGCCGAAGCTGATGGAAAGCGCTCCTCACCACCGCCAACACTTGAGCTTCCAAAGTCTGCTCTGGGTCGAGGAGCACCCCCAAGCTGCGGACCCTGTCCTTTAGAGGGAGTGCAACCCCATTTAGGACAAGATCCAAGTCACCTACCCAGGAGTTCGAACCACCCACCAGCAGGACCTCCGTCTTGTCTGGACTGAATATATGGAAATATATGAAATATATGGAAATTAGAGGAGGGCCAGAGGTACAATACGATACTCAGTCAAGGGACCTTAGATAGGCACCCATGACAACAACAGTGGCCATTCATAAAAGTGGAGGGTACAGAATGAAGAGTGAGGGGTTGCCCTCCGGCAGCCATTTTCTTCAGGTTCAAAAAGGCAAGTTGTGTGTCTTGGTGCTCTCAGACTTCCACTTCTCTGTTGTACTTAAATTTTTTGAGAAAATTACTTTTTTCCCCCCATCAAACCAGTTTGCCTTCTGGAAAAATGAGAACCTGGCAACCAACCATGTCCATGACAATCATTCTATGACTGGCCAAACCCCCGGGGAATTCATTCTGTAAAAGCATCATGGCGAAATGCAAGATGTACCAACTGACCCACAAAAAGATTGGAAACCCCTGTTGATACATACACACATGCATGTAAAGGACAGAAAATGGCCTTTTTCTTCACTGATGGAGGAGCATGAGGAGTTTAGCCATCAACACAAAGCTGTAAGAATATGCCAGCCATTAACATGAGTCACCTACCAGAATTTCCTGCCTTCTAAGCTCTGCAGCTTCTTTCTTGTCTGAAAACTGTTGAAATGTTTTCTTCAGAATTTCCAAACAGATATTTACGTCTCCCTGCAGCAACAGAAAGAGCTTCCTTTCCTTCAGGAATCCACACCATCTGGTGCCAGTCAATGATTTTTATTTTTTTTTTTTTAGTAAATTATGGTTCATCAGAAAGTGCAGGTCTAGCAGCTGATTTCAAGAGCTGTATGCTGAAGTCCTGAGGGCCCTTGTGCCCAATGCCCTCACCCAAATCTTTTAGGCTATTCTACCTGTCTGGGTCAGAAACACAGCTGGGTTTGATCTTCTTGGACTCTCTCGCAAAGGATTAATGGTAACAGCCTTAAAGCAGCAGGCCCTCCGTGGTGTTCAAACCCAACAAATGCTTGGTCTTGCCACTCACTGGAGCTGCCCTGATTTAGGGGGAGGAGGGTTGGAAGGTAGCCTGCTTTAGGGCCACCTGATGAGTTTTAGCCAGAGGCAAGATTTGAACTCAGGGCCAACTCAGCAGCTGCTCAACAATGATATATTACCCACTATACATACCAGGCCTGTGTCGGCACTGCCCGTTTGCCACTCCCGGCATCCAGATGGTGCAAAAACTGGTAAGGGTCTCTGCACCAGAACAATGGACAGACTCTCCAGTCTGGCAGGAAATCCCACCAATACGGGTGATGACTTTAATGGGACATCCTGTTCCTATCCCTCCACAGAAAATAAACTTCATGGGCCGCCAGGGGCACAGACCTGCCACTCCAGAGGGCCAGCTTTGAAGCCCAGCCTTGCAGGGCCACCACGTGCTTCCCAGGTCCATTCCCCAGAACTGCTCCCCTTGAAACCCTAGACCAGCCCTCCCCAAACTTTTTAGGTCATGGAACCTTCCTGAAGACTTTTTTCCCCTGCAGAACCCGAACTCTGACTTTCACTAAGCATTGTGAACCAGCAACGTTCTTCCTTCTTTCATCTGCTCCTATTGCCTGAGTGCTTTGCATAATGGAGAAGATTTGGAAATAAAGAGAAATTTTAAATATAACGAATGAATAAAGTAATTATATATTAATATCCCAAATGAATTCTTTCCATTATTCCCAACACTATATAATAGAGTCCTGGCAACCAAATGACGTGATGCATTTCCTTATTTGCTGCTTGGATGCAACAGACAGATGAATAGTTAGAAACATAGCGAATCAGAAGGGGTCTCCTGGGTCATCTAGTCTGACCCCCGCTCCAGCCAGCTCTGCTCATGTACTCCAACATGTGGTTTTCCAATCTTTCCTTGAACACCCTCACTGATGGGGCCTCCACCACCGCCCTTGGAAGCTCATTCCATATCCTAGGGGTCCAAACATCAGGAAGTACTTCCTGACATTCAACTGAAGCTTGGTTCCTTGAGCCTTACCCCACCGGAACATGTTCTGCTCTTCACTGCAGGGAAAAACAGGTCATGGCCCTTCTCCACATGACATCCTCTAGTTGGCCTCTTGTGGTTTTATTTTAAAAATATGTTTTAAATTTGATTTTGGGGAATTTTTTCAGAACCTGTATGACGCTTTTTGTGGAACTCTAGGGTTCTGCAGAACACAGTTTGGGAACTGCTGCCCTAGAGAACAGCTGCTGGTCAAGGCTGACAGCACTGGGCTCCAAGGTACCCAACAGTACAAGGCAGCTTCTGATGTTCCTAAAGGCCCAGCAGAGCTATGGAGAACTGGCACATCCAGATAATCCTAGCACCTTAAAATGGTGCCTGCCCAGTCAGCTGACTTCACTCAGCCACCTCTCCAGCTAGAAGGACGAGTGCCCAGCAGAGCCTTGGAGAACCACAGAAACAGCTGTGGATGCTGGGGCCAGGTTCAGAGAGTGGGGGAGATATGGCCCATGGACCAGAGGTTTTTCATCCTTCCAAGGCATCCACACAGAACCCTCCAAGAAGGAAACGAAGGTATTCCCCTTCTCCACCTACCTTGGTTTCTTGGGAAGCCTCTTCCGTAGGAACCGAACTGTGGTCTTGGTGCTCTTTGGACTTGTCAGATGACACATAGATCAGGGCTTGACCCTCCTCGCAGACGACCTTCAGGGGCTCCTGCTGTACTGCACACTCTCTGCTCTCGTCTTTCCTGTATTTGTCCTCCTGAAGTCGCTTGACCAGCTCAACAAACTTTGCCAGCTTCCAGTTTGGCATGAAGCTCCTATACCGGACCGCCGCTCTACACTGAGGGCAGGATGAGTCTGCGCTCGTCTCTTCCCAGAACTGGATCAGGCAGTCTTGGCAGAAATTGTCCCCACAGTCCACCATCACAGGGACTTTGAAGGGCTCCAGGCAAAGGGGACAAGTTGTTTCATACACAAACTCCTGGAGGAGGGGATCAGCTGCCATTCTCTGAAACACAAGAACAGCCTCAGCTGGTCGAGCAGAACCAGCAGCTAAAGGGATCCGTCTGAGAAGCCCAGAAGGACACCGGTGCAATGAACCCACTTCTGTTCCAAGCAGCTGATATTTCAGAGACCTGGCACGTACTGCCCTTTTGAGAGCCTCTCCCAGCGTGGGCCTGTCCAGATGTGTTGGACTACAGACACCATCAGCCCCACCTGTAGAGCAACTGCTGCCTGGGGATGATGGCAGCTGTAGTCCAACTTATCTGGAAGGGCCCAGGGTGGGGAAGGTCCGTGCTATCGCTTATACCCTTTCAGTGTCTTAACTTTCATGACACTGTCCAATTGCCTTTTAAAGCTAAGCTTAAGTAAGGAAATTAGGACAGGCAGGACAAACTTGGAAAAATCAGAGGCTCCAATATGGTTTTCCCTACAATTTCCCAATTAACAGGTTGCCTGCCATTGCTCATTTCTCTCTAAGATTCCCATTTTTGTGTGTATTTTCCTGTCCTTTTCTTTCTGTTAGAATCTTCACATTCCCATTAGTGTTTTATATATATATATATATATATATATATATAAATAAAAACAATCCTGGAGTTTCCCTACCCGTCTTAATTTTTATTCCTTAAGATTTTTTTTTTCAGATATGTTTTTAACTATGCCTGCAAATGAAGATTCGCTAATTTCATCGTTATTTGGGTTCTAAAGAATGATTGTGTACATCTTTGCTGGCCCTTAGGCAACACCGCTGGTTGTACTGAAGTTCCTGGAGAAGTTACTTTCCTGTAGCCTCACCAGCTGCTTTCTAGGAAATGGGTATTGTGATTGGCCATGCATCCATTTTAGGAATGGGCAGGGGCACCTATTTTATGGCAGCCATTCTGTGAGTGAGCCCACAACACTCAAAACTTTCTTTCTCTCTTTCTCTCTTTCTTTCGACAACTTATATGCCACCCCATCGCATGAGCCTCAGGGCGGCTTACAATCATTAAAATCCCATATAAAAACTTGGGAGCAGCCCATGTGCAAAAAAGATTAGGGACTTCTGGGATACTCTGTCTCTATCTGCCCAGCCACTAGTTCGATTTCAATAGTTTGGAATGGTGGATGTGCTTATTCTGTTCATAAACTTATTCTGTTCATAAGCTTATTCACTTCTTTCTTTGAACTGGCCTGAAAGGGCAAGCAGGAGGCAGTTGAGCCTGACTTTGCACGGGGAACTTCTACCAAACTTGCAAACTGAAGACCCTTTTGTTGGTTGTCTCTGTTCGTTAAATCAGTTTTGCTTTCCTCTAAGTCTTGTTGTTTAGGAAAGTGGGAAGTACTCTGCACATGCGCAGGAACTTCACCCTTAGCTATTACTGGGCGTGTTATTCAAATCCAGTATGAAAAAGGGGTTCTGGGACTCCAGCAGAAATGAAACGTGGGGGAGGCAAAGAGGTGTGAGAACAGACACTACCCTGTTGTACGAGGTTTAATGTCAATTTATGGGAGCTCCTCCAGTAAAACATCAGCTTCCTCTGTTCCCACGCCTCCCTACCACCCATTTTCCTTGCAATTTAGCTGAGCGCATCAGGCAAACGGTGGTTTAGCTACCCAACGCGCCCTCCTTCAACCTCAAGGGCTACTGAAAATTACCCGCATTGACCCGCGCCCTCTGCCATTTTAGACTTCTTGCCTACCACTCTGCTGAATTTACGAGCAACTCCCCAATTCCCCGCAAAAAAGGGAAATAGCTTCTCCTTCACACTGGCTTATTTTAATTTTACTCGTAACAAAGGAACACCAAGAGAACACTCACAAAGTCTACTCCCCCTCCGCACTTTTCCCCACGCTTTAATCTGAACCTTGAAGAGAGTCCCAAAATAAACGCTAAGAAATCTGCAAGGTACCTGTTCACTGTTGCTGAGCGAGGACAGCCTGCAAAGAACCCGCTCAAACTTCCAAAATGACTGATTGGGGCGGGGTACCCCGACCTGCGCAGCCTTCTAATAGCTCGGCCGTCCAATCAGGAAGAGAGGAATGAGGTCCGGGCAGGGCTTTCAAGGGCTTAATCCTGCAGCTGCTTTACATAGGGGAAAGTCTAAAGCGCGGATTTCTGACTCGGTCGGTCTAGGTTTTAGTCCCAGCTCAGCTTCGCAACCAACTGTGTGACTCTGGGCCACTCACAAACTCTCAGGCCAACCTACCTCACAGGGTTGTTGTTTTGGGAATAAGACTGAAAGCTGAATTATGTACAACCACTTTGAGTTGGTTGTAACAAAAAAGGCAAAATATAAACCTAATAAATACAAGCCTACAGCTTTCAACATGATGCTGCTAAGAGAATTAAAGGCATTTTTCTGCTTAAACAAGTTGAGACAGTAGAAGGGCTTATAACACGTTGCTGGGAATTGCGGGCCTTTTTTCCTATGGTAAGCAAAACGGTGTGGCTGCCTTGCTCTCTCCTTTTTTGTCCCAGTCCATCTGTTTGCGGGAAGACAGAATTCCTAAAAGAGAATTGAGGAACAGAAGCTGAATATATAGGTTTGAATTCTGCATGCTTGTCTGGGGAGTACCTTCCATGAACATAATAGCCGCTTAGGAAACTATTCTGGCAGTTGTAGGCAACATATAAATATGTGAATATATTTATAAATATATCGGAGTAGACAGGTGCTTTGTAAGTCTGGACAGAGAGAAGGTCTACACTTTAAACTTTTCCATCCTGCAGTTTCCCTTGTGCCTCATTGCACCCCCATGCATGACAGTTAAGCCTTTTCCCTTCCGTGGGCACCAACTGAATTATTTCATTTTTTTAGTCTGCATTGTAGGGGGGTTTATGGGGGAATGGGAACAGCTGTGTGTGGAGGTTTAACCTACAATGTATGGTGGCCCTAATCTAGATTAAAGGCCTTCACACTTAACACTATTTTTTGTAAGGATCAGCTATGGATTTTACATGTGGTGTAACCTCCAAGCTACATGGGATGGCAACAGGCTATTTTATTTAAAGGGAAGATCCACTGAAACCATGTAGAAAATCAAGGAAGAGCAGGAGTACAAAGGAGCATCCAGGTGAGAGCTGTTGATTGTGACCTTCTCCACCTGTACTGTGTGATTGCCAGCAGTCTGCCATTATTCAGAAAGTCCTGATTAATAAAATGCTGAATAGTGTGCAGATCTTACACCTCTAAGGTGTAATTATTGGCAGCAAGAACTTTAAGCCAAATCACTGGAGTTTTGGCCTTGTACCTTTTCCTTTCAGCCCTGCACACCACTAGGACATGAGCCCCGAGAACTTCTCCAGAATGGAATTTGGACCTCTCTGAGAGGATGAAAGCCCTTGCTTCAAAGGATCCACCATCACAGGCTTGTGCGTTTGTGGTACAGAAAAGAGATTCTTCCCTGGCAGGGCTTCTGTCCCTTTAAAAACTGACAGACTTATTTATCTCATACGGTGGTAGTACAATTAGCCAGGAAGTCTGCATGGCTGAAGTGGTTTGGCCGCCTGATATTGCTAGCTCTTTGGTTCACACTCGCACTATCCGTGGTGCACGACAGGGTGCTTTGCACACACCAGGCAGCTAGCGCTAGTCTGCCCGAGTGCCGGCATCCTCCGGTCTCTCTCCACTGCCGTTGCTGCTGACGCTGCAGGTCCAGCACGGAGCTGGTCCCTACACTTTCCACACAGATCACTAGCTTCCCCACGGAGCTGGGTTCCCTGACAGACCAAACACAGAGGTGATGCAGTTTTGTCCCGGTCTATGTTTTTCTGGGTCATTTTTCCTGCGATAGCCACTGATTGTGAAGAACCACTGCTCACCACTAGGCAATCCTACCATTCACTCCCCCTACCATCAAAAATCAACACCCTTTTATTAATATATTTCTTCTAAGGGACCTGGTCATCAGGCATGGGAGAAACAGATCAGACGTATAAGGAAAGTAAATAAAGTCTATTTTATTTAAAAGGAATAAAACAAGACACCTTTTTATTTATGGTTGCTGTTACTTACAGGTTTTATTGTTAGCATTAAAATCAGGGCATGCATTTTAATGTTACCGCTAATCAGGTGTTAGAAACCTCAGTTCCTACCTCAACTTACTTTATCCTTTTTATTTGTTACTCCGTTATGTCCCTGTTTTTTTTTCCTTCCTGCAATGAGTGCAAAGTAGATTATCCAGTTCTCCTCTCCATTCTGTTCTCACAACAGCCCTGTGAGGTGGGTTAGGCTGAGAGTCAGTGACTGGCCAAAGGCACCAGTGAGCTTCATGGCCAAGCAGAAACTGGGACTTGGATCTCTTGAGTCCCAGGTCCAGCCACTGCACCACACTGACTCTAAGTGCAGTGTGTCTCTTATCCAGCTCCATCCTGGTTCTATTTCTATTTATTTGTCCCAGTTAACTCACAGGCCCAGCAACGAGGGCCCAAAAGACGGAGGTCCTGTTGGTGGGTGGTTTGGGACTCGGGATGGGGGACTCGGGCCTTGTCCTAAATGGGGTTGCACTCCCTCTGAGGGACAGGGTTCGCAGCTTAGGAGTGCTCCTCGACCCTGAGCTGTCTTTAGAAGCCCAGGTGACGGTGGTGGCGAGGAGCGCCTTCCTTCAGCTTCGGCTGATACATCAGCTGCGTCCCTTCCTGGAGAACGATTGCCTGGCGACAGTGACACACGCGTTAGTAACTTCCCGATTAGATTTCTGCAATGCGCTCTACGTGGGGCTACCCTTGAAGATGGTCCGGATACTTCAATTGGTGCAGAATAGAGCTGCCAGGCTGTTGACGGGGACTGGGCGTTGTTCTCATATAACCCCAGTTCTCCGTCAGCTCCACTGGCTCCCGATTGAAGTCCGGGCCCAATTCAAGGTGTTGGTTATGACCTATAAAGCCCTCAACGGCTTGGGCCCTGGGTATCTAAAGGAACACTTGCGTCCATGTATGCCCTCCCGCCCCTTGAGATCAGCAACAGATGCCCTTCTCCGGGAACCCTCTGGGAATGATATTAGGAGGGTGAGTACCCGGAGGAGGGCCTTCTCTGCGGTGGCGCCCAATCTATGGAATGCGCTCCCCAGAGAGGTCCGCCTGGCACTGTCGTTATTTGCTTTCCGGCGCCAGGCTAAGACCTTTTTATTTAAAACCTATTTTAAGTGTTAATTTATTATGTAGGATTTTAAAAAAAATTTAAGCCGAGATGCACCGGGTTTTAATATTTTTAGTGTATAATTTTTGTATGATTTTGTTTGTTTTTGTTTTTGTTGTGAACCGCCCCGAGGCTTTGTTGCGATGGGGGCAGCATAGAAATGTTTTAAATAAATAAATAAAAGACAATCTTCCCTCTGGTTCCACCTGGAACCTTCGCAACTCTAGGCACCCCTTGGAGTTTTCAGCTTGGTCCACTAGTTCTGCAGGCTATTTGAACCAGCTGAGACTGCGGAGGAGTCTTCCGCTCTCCTCACTTGCAAAGCTTCAGCTTCGATCTATCAGGCTCCCAGATTGGCTTCCCAGTCTTCTGCTGCTTTTCTTCTTGGCTGACATCTTGCTCCCCAGCCTCTTGCCGACACCTCCACATGCCAAAATCCGCTGGGCAAACACCCCTAGTTGCCTTGCACAGCCCCTAGGGATGTGTGGATTTCCTTCTGTGTTTCACCAATTATCAGACACCTTTCATTCAGTCACCCACTCAATGATGAACTGGATTTTTTTTTTTTTCAGTTTCCTCAACTTATGTTCATGTGTACTTGTGCAAATTTGTACTTCTGGAAACTTGCAAATCTCCCCCATGCACAATACTCCCATGCATATTTTCACATTTTTGTCTATGGGAGGAAACACACATTGTAAAAATTTTCTATGACTATATTTGCAGAAATTCCAGAAAGTAAAAACCTACCCACAAGTCCAGAGAATCTGCATACCTCAGCAAAAGCCAGGTAGCTACAAAATCCACAGGTTGGAATCACAGGAATCTGAACTTGTTCGAATCCACTCTGTCATCACTAACAACTTCTTGTATTAATTTCACTGAGAACCTTCCTATCAGTTTTGGAGTGGCCAAAATTCTACCATACCACCGCTGTTCAATCCCAGGAACCGTCAGTACCATTAGAAAGCTGAGCTATTCTCCAGTCAGCCGGCACCGGGCCTGATCCTACTTTCCAGAGACAAGCCTGGCCTCATTTCTCCCTCAGTGGGATCAGTCATTGCTGTGGTTCTGGCACACCATATTTGTAATGTAAATCACACATTTTTCTTTTCAGTCGCTGAAACAAACCCCAAATGTCTCCTTAAAAGAATGTCAGTTTTCACATTATTAATGTTATTTGTATTTGTTTAATTTCTATACCAGCCAAAAGCTGAAGTTCTCCAAGTGGTTCACAGCAGTTCCTAAAATGAAAGGTGCAGGATCAATATCCCTACATTTTCAGATTGTGGTACTGTCATCATCTCTTTCTCCTCTTTTGCTTCCTTCCCTTCCCCTTCCTCTTTGAGAGAGAATAACTATGAGTATTTCAAGATACAGCAACAAAGCAGAGCCCTTCCTAATCTGATGACCCTTTTTTTGCAGGTGAAAAAGGAGGTTTGTCATCAGGAAGGGTGAGGGAGTGTTTGTGTGTGTGCGGGGGTCGTCCTCAGGAGCTGCACTTCAGACTGCCATTCTACTCCCCACTGTAGAAAAAAGGTCGAATTCTCTGCCCAGAGAATGACCCAACATAGAAAGTGAATATAAAATCATCAGAATTAGCATCAAAAAAATCGACCCAACCCTCTTCATAATGCAGGGCCACCCAGATCTTCCCGGGTTCTTTTCTCAATGTCAAACGGACTGGCTCAAGGGCAGTAAAAGCTAAGGCTTGACAAGGTGCATCCAGGCCAAGGTAAATCTTCCCCACAGCCCAGATCCCTTCCTTTTGACCCAGGCTGACATACCCCTTCCTGGTCATAGTGCCCCTTGCGATGCCAATGGCCCACACCGGTGCCTCCAGTGGGACTTCCCACTTTCCCTTTCCCTGCACCTCCGCCTCCCACCAATGTCTTCCTGAAGTGAAATTCCTGTGGCCCAAGACAGAGTTCATGTGGTCAAATCTCTCTGGGTTGTCGGTCTTTTCCTCAAGTAGTACATCCCATCTCACAGTCTTCAGGTCCTTTGACAGAAAGAGTTTGTGACACGCCGTGTCTGGATCCATAGTCACTCTCACTACAGGACAGAAAGAGAAAGGACACGGCAGCATCTCAGGGGTGGTCTTCAGTGGCTGTGCAGTCACTCACAAGGGCCCCTTTTATGCAGGGCTAACTTGAATCTGATGTATATGCACAGAACCAAGCAAATGAAGAAATAACAGCCCATTGACTGTGTGCTGGCTCCAGGTTCAGGGACGGCAGACTCTGCCTCCCCATGGCTGGAGAACCAGGTTAAGAACCTTGGCGGGCCAGAGACTGCTGAGGAAAAGAGGCCTTTAGAGCAGGTACACTCCAAGGCAGGCATGGCTGGGCACCTGCAAAGGGGGCACACCCTGGCGGGGGCCCACTAACAATGAGACCCCTGGCTGGCTGCCCCCCTTCCCACGGCAGCCGTCTTGTTCATCTGCCCTTTGCTCGGGCCTGACAATGAAGATGGTGAGGAGGAGCTCCATGGTCCGCTTGCAAGAAAGCGGCTGTGATGATAGAAAAGAGGAGGTGTGGAAAGAGCCGCTGGTGACCATGGTGGGGAGAAGGGAGACTCCCTGAGGGAGGGGGCCCTGTGGAGGGCGTTTGCCCAAAGACCCTCTCCAGTACTCTCCATTTGGACTGGTGCCATTTGAGTGTAACTGGAGAAGGGAGTGGAAACAGCAATGTGTCCATTCGTTCCTAAGTAGGTTGACCAAAACAAATTATATTGCCTCCACTTTTGGCTTGCCAGGGGTAAAACTCCAGCATAACAGAATACCTTGCAGAAAAACTGGGACTGGACCTAAGGGCTTGTCTACATGAGGCAGTTTGTTAACTACATCAACGTTTGCTTTCATCTCAGAACTGAGATCTGAGAGGGTTTCCCTTCTGGCTTTTCTGCAACGTGACCTCTAGGTGGCACAGTGGTCTGACAGAAAAGCAAACGTGCATGAGTGGAAACGACGCATTCTTTGGCCATCAGAAATACTATGCCATTTACCCTGCTCTAAAAAGCAAAACTTGAGGAGAGAGCTGTTTACAGACTGGAGGGTTACAATGTCCTCTAAAGAACCTGTACACAACCATGAGTGGGAAAGGAGAAGCACACAACAAATGCCTCATGCAGAAAAGCCCCAAGATCGTATTTTCTCCTAACTGACATGCGAAGAGGTTGGAGTACTACCCAGGCTGTTCTTCAGTCATTAATAACTTTGGGAATAGTGCTGGAGAGATTTTGCTTATTGACTGAATTTATCAAATGATTTGTACACCTTTCAGCTCCCAAATGAGCTCTAGGCATTCTTGGGGCGGGGCGGGGTGGGGGGGCAGATTTAGAATGTCTTCATTCTGTCATCTTAGTGATGATGGTGGTAAGGGAAGAGACATACTCCCAAAGCCAGGGGATTATTGTCCCTTTGTTGATTTATTTTTTTGATGAGCAGGGCAGTGGCATCCAAAAGAAGCCACCCTCCTTCCTTCAACAAAAGAGGGAACAGGGGGACCGGGGAAAGCAAGATGCTCTTCTGCTTTCCCGCCTGCCTGCCTCCCCTCCCCTCCCCTCCCCTCCCCCTCCCCACCATTCACTTGACTGAGAATGAGTGCAGCTTTCTCTTCCTCAGAAGGGCCACCAACAGGGAAATAAGGGGCAATGTTTTCCAGAGGCATCTTGTGGATGCTTGCAGGGCAAGTCAGATGCTCCTCAAAATGGATGTGAGGTGTTATGCAACTACCTGGAAGTTGGAGCACTCCCAGAGGTCTGTACTGAGGCCCTTCCTTAGATACCTACACCCACTCTTTTTCTTTTTCGTAAGCCGCCCAGACAGTTTTAGTATTGGATGGCATATAAAAACTTTAAATAAATAAATAACCTTCACAGTTCTGCATGGCCTTTTTTAGATCAGAGTTTTTCTGCGCATAAATTCTGAGTCTCTCTTCCAGCTTGGGAGGAAGGTCCACTACATACTGTATTAAATTCTTCTCACACCTGAAAGGAGAAATAGTCAGGCCTAAAGGACAGTCATAGAACACCATTCTCCTAAAATTTTGCAGCATTCTTGGTAAGCTAAAGAGGCTCTGATCCAAGGCTTGCTTATGGGTAGATGTCCCCAGCTTGCCAGGTTGAAGCTTGAGATCTTTTGAAGGAAGATCCTGTCAATTTCATCGACTTCTGCTCCAGTCAATTTCACTCTTAATAGGGGGAACGTTGGGATGGAGGATCCACCCTTCCCTTAGAAGGGATCAGAAGCGTTGCAGAAGACTTCAGGACTTCTGCATCAAGCTTTAGATCATCTGTGAGACCCCACTCTCAGAGGAATTTCTTAGCTACTGTTGGTGGGATGGAGGGGGTGCGAGGGCAGAAAAGAGAGGAGCAGCTCAGGTGCAGATCTAAAGCAAGAGCCCACAGTTGAGTGGCAGAACCGTGACTTCACGGATACCAAAACCTTGTGTGGTCTTGTCAGTTGAATGGATCTCATTCAATGGAGCTCCAGAGAAGCATCTGAACAGCTGGCTTTCATTGCCGTGTGCACCAAAAGCCTCCCAACAACACAACACGAAAGAGAAAGATGTGACTGTTGTGCAGTGCTGAGGAAAAGAGTGTCATTCACTTTTAGAGGTATTCCAGTGAGACCAAAGCTATTCCAAGCTAAGAGTATGAGAAAAGGGGGAATGTGGAAAACAGCAACATACCTGCTTAAGCAGTTTGTGATGTCCTGAAAGACAGAAAGAGAAATGGATCGTATGGACCAAACAAGCACTGTTTCCTTCCTGACCTCGCAGGAATTCCTTTGCCCCTTCTTGCTGTATGGCTGCCCCCAGGATTGTGCCCTCTTTGCTCCAAGAGACCCGTGGTTGTGTTAACACTCACCTGCAGGAATTCAATTGCTGGCTGCAGCAGCGTCTCCTCCCTCTCTGTCATCAGCAGGCTGAGCTGGGAAATCTCCTGAGAGAGGTCAGTGAGCGTCTCTCCTTCTCTCTTCTCCAGTTGATCTAGCCAGAGGTGCTGCTTCTCCTCAAGGAACTTCTGCATCCTCTCAAAGGCAGACCTGACCTCCTGTTTCTCCAGCTCCAACTGTGTCTGGGGGAAAATGCATGGAAATTAATGGAGAGGCAGAGGTGGAATTCCGCCTCTTGGATGCACGCCTCAACGGAGTGAGCAGAAGCCGAGAGCGATGCCACCGGAAGGCCGGGCTCTCTCCCTAGGCCAGTCTCCTGGCAGGGTCACCCAAGGCAGAATGGACAAAGCTGAAGCACCAGACAGAAGCAATGGAGGAGAAGTGGTATCTCTGCTGGGGCTGGATTGCGGAGAAACTCCTAAAGAGCAGCTGCTGAGCAGTAGAAGGTCACACTTGAGGGCGACACTGGAGGAAGATCACTCACACACAACAGCAGTGAAGCTCAAGCTAACGCTAGCCCAAAGAGTAAGCCAGTTTAGAATCTTTCTTACTCTGAAAGCCCCCTGTTGAAATAATCCCGAAGGAAGTGAGAGAAAGGGCTGGACGATGCGACTCCAAGGTCGGGAGGCACTCAGCCAGCTGCTGAGGAAAAGCGAAGGACAGGTGCCAGTAGCGCTGTTGATAATGGCGCCACTAGATCAGAGCCAAAAAGAAGCCCGGTGGCCGACCTGTGCAGAGGTGAAAGGAAAGTCTGACGCCGCATGACAAGTACAATTCGAGCATGGAATGCCAGAAGGATGAATCAAGGCAAAGCGGAAACTATGAAGCAGAAGAAGCAGAAGAAGTAGAAGCTGACTCCCTAGTCTAACACACCCAACTAGATCCTACTGCCCCTCTGATTATCACAGAATCACAGAAGAGCAGAGTTGGAAGGGGCCATGAAGACCCCTGGCTCCAGCCCCCTGCTGCTGCAGGACACCACGTTACACCATCCCACTCAGAGGGCTGCCCAGTTACTTTCTGAATGTCTCCAGTGCGGGAGAGCCCACCGCCCCTCCAGGCAGCTGGTCCCACTGTCCTATTGCTTGGACAGCGAGGAAGCTTTTCCTGATGTCCTGCCTGAACCTGGGTTGTCGCAGCTTGAATGGATTCTTCTGTGTCCTACACTCTTATGAAGTCGAGTCATGCTAGCTTGTTAGCTACAGGTTACACAAAGTTCATTTTGCTCTCATACTTCCCCCTTCCCCCCAGCAAGGAAATTCAATACGGCTGTTGTGCTTTAACTATGGCTGCAGTGTGGGAAAGAGAATGTGTGGGTGTTGGGTGGGGGGGTCAATTTCTGCAACAGCATCTAACTGGAAAGGAACTTCACATGGACCTCCCGCCCTCTCAGTCATACATTTTGGGCATCCTGTTATGCTTCAATCATGAAATAACAGGTTTGCATGTTTGAATCAAGCTGTTGAACAACACATCTGCAGGCACAACGCCAAGAAACATTTTGCCTCACTGTTGATAGCACGCAGAAGTCTAATAGTTAACACCAGCCAAAAAAAAAAAGCACCATTGCTCACAAATACATTGGTCCCATACATGTCTACTTGGACCTTAAGATCATTGTCTGAGGTCCTTCAGACAATTCAGGAGCCACCTTTAAAGGATGTCAGGAAGGTGGCTACCTGGGGAAGGGCCTTCTTGGCTGTGGAACCCTGTTTATGGAACTCACTCCCCAGAAAAATATGTCTGACACTGATGCTTTACATCTTCCGGCACCAGAACAAACGCTTTCTGTTCTCCCAGCATTTTAATTGTTAAATAATGAATTATTAAACATTATTATGTTTATTTTTATATATTTGCTGGGTTGTTGTTTGCTTATTTAAATATTTATGTTCACTTTTTTTTCTTATTTATCTTTCTTTTTTCTTGCTGTCCAATTTAGGTGCTGAATGGCGATTGTGTTGTATGGTACTGCTATTGAATTGTATCATCATCATCATCATCATAATTTTGTAATGCTGATTATATTGTATTTTAATCCTGTAAATAGTTTTGAGAGCCAAACTGGCTATAGAGAATAGTATACCAAAGCTTGTATAAATAAATAAATACTTACCACGGTCCACTGAATTCTCTGCTCTTTTGCCCGCCTCTGTTCCTTGAGTTTGTCAGCCTTTTCCTTCAGAGATTTCAGATGGTTCCTGATTTCTTCCTGTGGAAACAGAAAAAGATTTTACTCTGACAGCATGAAATGGAGAATCTAGATAGATGGACATCCTTAACATTGACCTGGTTCATATAACCAGTGAAGCCCACACTGGCTTCTTGTATCATCTGAGCCCAGCAAGGATGCCTTAAGAAACCACCCACAATACAAGGTTAAGTTTGAGTGGAGTGCTATGTCATTAAATCATGGGTTGTAGTTGAAACATGGGTTATTGTATTGTCTGAACCATAACAAACTATGGTTTAACAACAGACAACCACTACAACCCACAACAAACCACAGCTTCTCTTCATGGATTGTTGGATTCAGACAACACAATAACCCACATTTCAACAACAACCCACACCTCACCAGCAGCCCTTACTAGATTCATACTAAGCCCTTGAGTACAGCTGAGTGTGGCTTATCATGGCTGAACCCACACCATGGACTCTGGGCATTTTGTTCATCACCCTGACAAGCAACCCTCACCAGGTTCAGACGACACAAGAAGCCATGCCTGGTGAGAGCAACACTATGCCGACCAGCCACTGCACAACCAACAGGTATGAGATGTTTAACAATTCAGGATAGCTTGTTAACCACTTGTCATCATGTGAACCATGCAGCTAGCTTAACGAGGCAAAATTAACACTTCAAAGGAAAATGCTTCCTCTCTATAATGAGAGGGTTCCCAGGGCATATCCCCCTTCGACTTACTTTTTGTTTAGAAGATGCATTTGGGGCCCAGCAGGCAGACTCAGAGTTGGATATACAAAGCTTTATCAGTAGTACAATGAGTTTTTAACCCCCTCCCTGCAATCCACAGAAATGCTGTCTAGGCTTTGTATCATCTGACCTTGATCCTGAACTAGAAATACTGTATGGGCTCATTTAGAAGTGGAACAAGGAGGGGATTTTTAGAATTGGAAAATACACCAAGTTGTGAAAGAAATGCGACTATTCTGCTATACCACAGTGCCACCTAGTGGTTAGACGGCAGAAAAGCAGAAGAGGATTTTTTAATTAAAATATTAAAAAATAAGACATATTATTTTAGTGCTTTGCTCTCAGTTCTGCAATGAGAATGAAAGGAAATACACTGGATCAAATAGTCAATTAATAGCCTCATGCAAAAATCTCCCTCTGAATAGTCAGTGTGCTCATCCTCTTTTATTCCTTTCTTAATCTGATTCCTCCGCCAATTTTCATCCTCTATCGACTTCCCCTCTCACTTTCCAGCCCCATTTGCTTCCTTCACTGACCTTGTTGCCCATTTTTTCTTAGAATATATCTGTCTGGATGGGTAGAATATATCTGTCTGGATGATCATGATTACATTTATAACCTGCCATTTTTTCTCTTGCAATTAACTTGCCTTCCTCTTCTCCTTTTTATACTCACAACACCCCTCTAAGAAAGAGGAAACTGAGAGTCTATGATGGACCCAAAAGCAGCCAGTGAACTTCATGACCCAGGACTCCAGAAGCCAAGTCCAGCACTCTAACCACTATGCCACACTGCCTTATTTCTGCTGTGATTCTGTTTGGTGGGTTAGGTGGCAATGGAGAACTTTTTGTCTTGCTGTGAGTCAATCAGTGTTTTGCCTGGAAAAACTCAGTGAAATCTTAACAACAGCAGTGCATCCAGTGCTAGTCAGTGATCTGATAGGCATTTCTGATCCGATAATGAAGAGGTGGGAACTGATCGACAGACCTTCCCCTTTTACTTGGGGAAACGTTCAGGCCACTCTACTGGTGAGCTGCTCTTTCCCTCTTCTCTGACTTGCCTACTTAGAGCAGTGCTCAGTTAGATGGGAGCATTGGTGGTATAGTGGTTAGCATAGCTGCCTTCCAAGCAGTTGACCCGGGTTCGATTCCCGGCCAATGCAAGTGTCCTTTGCTTTTGGACATGCACATGGTAGGCATGACATGAGCAGAGCTGGCTGGAGCCGGGGGTCAGACTAGATGGCCCGGGAGACCCCCTTCTGACTCGCTCTGTTTCTATGTTTCTAAATGCAATCAAAAATAAGCAATTTTGACAGAGGCCTAAAAGCTGCTCACATCAAGTGTTGGCCCAAGACATCTAGAGGACACCAAGTTGGGGGAGACGGGGCTATAAGGCGACCCCAGATGAGGATGCATCAAATCTTGACAGGGAGTAACTCCCTGCTTTCCAAAAATCAGTTGCAGTCTTCCCCCCTCCATCCCTATCACTGGAAGTGGCAGAGAGAGGCCAGAAATGACTACACCATCTGATTCCCAGTAATGCTCTGGGAAACCCGGTGCTTGAGAAGTATGTTTCCGCTTTCCCAACAGAATCACTGGGGCTGTGCGTGCAGCCAAAATCATGGTGTGGCCCTTGGGAGGGGCTACTAGAAGCTTCACGGGGGAGGGCGGCTCTGTGGGTTAAGAGACCAGAGTGAGAGCTGGTGGGGGCTACCGGCCCGGCCCTTGGCGGACCTGAACTCTTGTCCCCACTTCACCATGAATCCCACTGGGTGACTTTGGGCCAATCGCTGACTCTCCGCCTAAGCCACCTTGCAAGGTTGTTGTGAAGACAGCATGGAGAGAGCGGGGAGGACCACGCAAGCTGCCCAGGGTTGCTTACAAGAAAAAGCAAGACAGGATACAAATGTAATACTTGTAATTAAAAAACAAACAAACACGGAATAGAATCTTCTACATATTCAAGCAGCATCCATGAAAAAGACACCAATAATTTGTGGCCCGAGTCTACTGTCTTCCCAGCTGGATCACTCCACCCCTCCCCCCCCCCCCCCCCATTCCAGCCCTGCTGCAGAGCCAGCAGCTTCTCCCCTTTTAATTCTAGCAGTGGGAGGGGCTTCATGCTTGGGGGTGGTTCCTTATGCACATCACATCTTTTTAAAGAGGCCCCTTTAGCCTCCCACCCTTTAACAAGCTTTGCTCCGTTTTACCTGGTGCCCCACTTCATCCTTGGGGGCAGGCAGGCTGTGTTCCCTTCCGCTCTTTCCTGATGAATGGAGCCTTCCCTGGGGCATCAGTTCTGCTTATTGGCCCCTCAGGACTCCAAGGTGAAGCTTTCCCAGCAGATGGCTACCCAGGTGCATCTTTTGTCCCTTCTAAGCCACAGCAAGAGCTCGCTACCTTATTTCCCCCCCCCCTTGATGAGTGATGTTGCTTTGCAGAGCATCTCTTCTGTCACACCCCCACCCCATTTTTGCAAAATTAATGCCTCAGGTGCACGCAACTGCTGCAGTGGGGGAAGCCAGGTGAAGATTTCTGCAAAATGTGCAGTGTTCGTGCGGATTCAGGAGCTATCCGTGCATGCCACATACCCAAGAAAACTCTTCTGCGCAAAGAACCTAACAACTTATTTTTTTAGTTTATAATGTTCAATTTTAGATGCTTTAATATGTGTGGTTTTATTATTGTATTTTTGGATGTTATAATATGTAAGCCGTCCTGAGCGCTTGTGTGGAAGCTGGCTTAATATGTAAGCCATCCTGAGCACTTGTGCCTGGCGACAGTGACACATGCGTTGGTGACTTCCTGACTTGACTTCTGTAACGCGCTCTATGTGGGGCCCTTGAAGACGGTCCGGATACTTCAATTGGTTCAGAATAGAGCTTCCAGGCTGCTGACGGGGACTGGCGTTACGTTCACATGACTCCAGTCCTCCGTCAGCTTCACTGGCTTCCCATTGAAGTCCGGGCCCAATTCAAGGTGTTGGTGATGACCTATAAGGCCCTAAACGGCTTGGGTCCTGGTTACCTGAAGGAGCGCTTACGTCCATATATGCCCGCCCGCCCCCTCGCCCCCTGAGATCTGCGGGAGAGGCCCTTCTCTGGGAACCCTTCGTGAAGGAAATTAGGAGGGTGAGTACCCGGAGGAGGGCTTTCTCTGCAGTGGCACCCAATCTATGGAATGCGCTCCCCAGAGAGGTCCGCCTGGCGCCATCGTTATTTGTTTTTCGGCGCCAGGTGAAGACTTTTTTATTCAAATGTCATTTTAACTGTTAATAGTATTTATTTATTTTATTCTTTGGCCAGGGCGACTTAATTTATACTGTTAATTTATATTACTTTAAGGAAGTTTATTTAAGTTTGTGAGCTGCCCCGAGGCTTCGGCGAATGGGGCGGCATAGAAGTTTCCTAAATAAATAAATAAATAATAAAGGACGGGATATAAATGCTTGCAATTAATTAAAAAGCAAACAAATAAATGGAACGCACTTGTTTCCCACAGCCGTGGAAATTTTCTACCTTGTACTCTTGGGAAGCCTCTTCTATAGGAAGCACTCGGTGTCCGTGGCGCTGCCTTGATCTGTCACAAATCGGGCAGACGGGCGCCCGACCCTCCCGGCAGAAGAGCTGCAGGGGCCCCTCGCGCGTCGCACTCGCTTCTCCTCGCTTCTCGCCTCCTGCGGTCCCGCGGTCATTTCTGCAATGTTTGCCAGCGGCTGGCTTGGCTTGAAGTTCGCTTGCCGAACGGCTGCTCAGCCCCGAGGTCGCTGGCTGCATTTGGTGATGCAGCCTGGGCAGAAACGGAGCCCGCAGTCTGTGGTGACGAGATCTTCGAAAAAATCTAGGCAGATGCGACACGGCAGTTCAACGCAAAGACTTCTCAACGTGGCCGTCACCAGTCACGGCGCTCTGAGGGTAAGAGCACTTTTAGTTTCGTTTCTGATTTCAAACGGACTCTGAGTGTTTCCCTTCCTGGAACATCTGAGTGGAAATCCACGGCATGGGGGAGCCCCTTAAACAAGAGCGCTAAAGAGCCCTATCTATGAGGGGGCGGGCTTATTTTAGCATGGGAACTGAATACACGCAAGATTTGCGAGCGCATTCCCGTCCTGGAAGTGGCGTTGAATTAAATTCGGACCCTCCCAGTGCACCTAACCCTGATCTGACACCCACAATATTCCTAAAAGAAGCTCGCAGTACGATTTTTGCGCACCATCTGGCAGATTTGCATGATCTTAATTTACACTTTACATCTTTAGCTTTGGCTCGGAAACAGCTGCGGCTTCACCCCTCTGCCCCCACCCGCGCCCCAGAGTCCCGTGTCTTTCACAGCGGTGGGGAGAAATCCTTCCCACTCGTCTCCTTATTCAGCAGCGGTATTAAATCTAGTCTGGGAGTTCCTGGGGCACAACCTTGCATCCTAGCTAAGCATTCTGACAAAACCTGTCCACTTTAATTTTAAACATGTCTCAACTGGTCTTCAAAGAAATGTGACCCAAGAATACTGCCTATGAAGCAATGATGGGATTTTCTAGAAAAAATATAATACCTGTTAGAAACACTCTTTCCTTTAATTCGGAAAAGGAAAAAAAATATTCCAAGCATGCAGAGTTCTTTTTGAAACTTTATTGCAACAAAGGGAATTGGAATGGTCTCCTTCCCATCTTCCAGTTCAACTCTGCACAAATTCAAATCCCATTTTATGCCCTGCCCCCGGCCGTTTCTTCCCTCTTCTTTTTCTCCCATTCGTCAGGGTACTGGGAGGTTAAAAATCTTTTCTGTCTGCCTATCCTGTGCCACTGATACCTGTTCTTCCCTCGCACTTGGTCCCTCCCAGGTGAATTATAATGAGCTTATTTCTATGCAGGGTGTGTTTGTTAATAGTCATGAGGTCCTGTTATCTCTTCTAAGCGCCAATTTCCTCACACTGTGCTATCGGATCTTAGCCCCCCTCCCTTTAGACTAAGGAATTTTCTTTGTTACCTTTTTTTTTACCCTTCCTACTTCCTTGTTTCAAATTATCCTTTCACACCAATCGATTCTCAATAGATTTCAACATTGTATACTTATTTTCACATATCCAGATGGCCTTAATCTAGAGAACAATTCATACGGTTTATACCACTCATATCTGGTTTCTCTCTTTCTCTTTAGACACTTTCAGCTTGTAGCATTCTGCCCTTCCACCTTTAGTTATTTAACATCCTAGTTATTAATAAGGGCAGAAGCTGAAATATTTAGCCCAATACATATATTTTGAAATCACTCTGTCGCTAGTATAAATCAATATTTATCTGTATATAATGTTATGGAGTGTATTTCTTTCCTGTGTTAAAAGCACAGTTAAAGGTTACAGGAAGGCCAGGGACTGCAGACGTCTCCCCGTGCTCGACTGTGCAGAGATGTATGCAACTGCTCAAGCAGTTTTGGATAGCAATGCAATGAAGAAGAGAACACACAGAGTGTTCAAGGAGGATTTAATAATCCCCGATTCAGCTTTTCAAGAGCGAGCCAAGAATGTTCAAAATCGACAGGAATCAATAGGAGCAACATATCTGCAAAGAGTAAAGTCAAATTTATGTCTTTCCAAATCATGGATCATCTGAAAGATAAAAACCAGAATTGATTTTACATGCAGATTTCCTTTTTGTGAATGACCAATAGATTTCTTTGCCATTCTGACAACCTCTCCCATTCCCAACTGTTGGGCAAGCCTCCAAACTGACAAAAGGCTCTGGATTGTGGCCTAGAAGGTCACTTGGCTCCCAAAAGTCATGCCAAAAATGAGTGTTCGCCACAGCTGGTGTTTCTGGTTCCCAGGTCCAGACGTAGGCCTCCTTTACACAGTAAGTGGCTTCACAAATTGAAGGGAAACTAGCTCTGATCCAAAGTCACCCTGTCCCTGGTCAGCCCTCATTGCCTGCAAAAGGACATCTCTAGCTCCACCTGCTTTTTCTTTTTCTTTTTTAACTACTCTAACAAGCCTGCCCTCGGCTTGCTTATAAGCCATAGTAACTTCACTAACAGAAGGGAAACAGGTCTGTATTCGTAGCTCCATCTCACACATCCCACCAGCCCCTCAATCTCAAACCCCGCCTGCCTTATATGCATGCTTGTAGATGGAGGATTCGAAGATCGGTGATCAGGAACCAGAAGTCTTGCCTCAAAACCACTGTAACTGCAGCCCTTGGTCTGAGTCCTCTGCAGCCAGGGAGGAAAGTGAAGAGCGTCACTTCCACCCGGGATGGGGAGACTAGCGCGGGAGGGGCTCTTCTCAGGCTTCACGGGTTTAGATGGAATCTCCAGGACTGGGCCTGGAAAAAGGGTCTGATTCGCTCCCCAGAGAATATCGAGTTGAATCGGTAGATCAGATTAGTGGTATCCATATCAAAAAACTCCACTTCACCTGCTTCATAGTCCAGGACCACCTGGATCTTCTTGGGCATTTGTTTTACCGTCAAAGGAGTTGGCTTCGGGGAAGTAAAAGCTAAGAGTTTGGTATACAAGTCATTGCATTCTGCCCCCAAAGCCCAGAACCCTTTGTCACAATTAAAGTTGCTCTTTCCGTTCTTCCTGACAGAATCCCTTGCCACTCCGAAAGCCCAATTCGCTGAAAGTGCTGCACTGGACAGGGAAAACATCGCCTTGAGAACTACAGTAGACACTGGAAATGCATCCACCTCCACCTCCCAGTAATGTCTTCCTGAACGGAATTTCTCATTACCCAGGAAAGAGTCCACTGCCCATTCCCTTCCCACCGTCCTCTGGTCGTCGCACAGCGTGAGTTTGCAGCAGAACTTCTGTCCTGGAGTCACATCCACCGCAGGGTGAAGAGAGCAAGAGAGAGAGCCTGTGTCGCAGGGATTTCCCCAACTCTTTCTTCAGCCCAACTCTATCCCCTTCATTTCTGGGGGAGAATTTAGGAGAAAATGGGAAGGAAAAACTCTTCTTTGTTGTTGGAGGTCCTGATTTAGGTTGAGTACCTCTATGCCTATAAGATAGTTTACACACACACACACACACACACACTCACTCAATCTCCAAGATGCTATACACTTACCACAGCATCTGGTTTAGGCCTTGAAGTGTGATTTGATTTCACGCTTCAGACTTTGATTGTAAGCCGCCCCGAGGCTCATGCAATGGGGCGGCATACAAGTTGTTATAAATAAATAAATAAATTGTGGGTGGTCCTTGAGCAAGGCACCTCCCTGGGCTTCCACTGGAACAAGCCAGTCACAATGATGAAGAGGAGGAGCACTTCTGGACCTGGGACCTGTCTCCATGTCTATGCTTGATGGCCACCCTCTTAGCTACTGCAGCACATCAGCTCTCATTTCCACGCTGGTCCCGGTCCCTCTCCTCTTCCCTGGCCTCCTTCAGCTAGCTAGTCCCATTGTTGCTCAAGTTGCACGAGGAAGGAGAAGAAGAGAAATCCACTGGGTTTTCTGGAGGAATGTGCTCAATCATTTGCATCTTGCCAGCTGATTACACAGTTAAACCAAGAGCTGCTATTGAGATGGCAGCACATATTTCCCATGTCACACTTAACAACAGCCCATGGTTGGAACAACCCATGGACAGCTGGGGATGAGGAAGCTGGAGAAAACAGATGCCCACAGAGCAGCCACCACTTGAACCTGTGACTGTGAACTTGAACCTGTGACTGGATCTTCATAAGCTGCTGAGCATGAAGTCTGAAGCTGGGGTTTAACCCAACAACAAACCATGGGTTCCTTAGCCCCTAAAAACCCACATGGTCAGGGCTCAGATATCACTCTGAGCAAACTATGAACAATCCACACGTAGCATGTTGATTGAAACACACCTGCTCACACCTGCCCTTACCTTAAAACATACCGTGCAGCACACCTGCTCTCTCTCACTCATCCTTGACAGCCCACGGTTTGTTTAAACCATGTGCTGTCATTACATGCACAAGAACTTTTGGTTAGCTTTGTTCAGAACTTGCTTCAAAGAATCTGTTACGGGATGGAAAGGGGGACAGATTTAGAGTCAGGTCAGCATTAAATACAAATAAACAAAACCCAACAAGCCAAAGCTCTGTGCAATCCTTTTCCCCAAACTTCACCAGCCCTTTTCTTTCTAAATGGAAGTGGGTGGAGGAATTGAGGTGCTTCATTGTACATGTGAAGGGAAATTCTTCAGGTTTTGTTTTATTTTATTTTATTTTATTTTATTTATTAAAACATTTCTATGCTGCCCCTTGCCGAAGCCTCGGGGTGGCTCACAATACAGAATAAAATACAATAAAATACAAAAATAACGTTTTCAGATGGGGAATACAGTAGTACTTGCAAGCTGGGTTACAAGGTGGTCAGTGGGCATTTTTCTCCTGTAACATGTTTCACCTTTGCAAGCTCAACTGCAACTTTGGTGACGGCCCACCAGCGCTGCTGCTGTTGCTCCTAGGAAGACCCCCACGTGATGAAGAAGCATCTTTCAAGGGTCAGCTGAAGCTCAGCTTCAAGTGCCTGAGTTTTTAAGTTGTTCAGTAAAGGTGTGGGAGGAAAGAAACCACTTTTGGATTCAATATTCCCTCCCTGGGAAGGTGTTTGCCAAGACTGAGCTTTGAAAGTATCTAAAGGAGGGAGGTGGGTGGGAAAGAAGCCCTTGGGCAATCTTGTAATACAGTTAAAAAAACCCCTCAGAACACAAGTGGCAATTCCTCAGGTCCTCACAAGCAGTGATGGTGCAGAGTGACTAGCGCACCAGCACAACGGCACCCGACGAGGGTTGCCCAAATGCTTCCTCCTGTCTGAGCTGGGCCCTCGGAGGGACACCCTGGCGGCACACCGTGACTTGCTTGTAAAGCAGGCCGGAAATGAAATTGGGCGGCTCTAGTGGTGGGGTTGCATAGCTCAGCACCTCGTTATCGC